CAGTTCTTAATGATGTATATGTACAATAATTATATATATATATAATAGTTATTATAATATGGAAGATGAGCAGCTTAATATTTTAAATGTCATTGCCTTTTAAATGTCATATGCCACCATGTCACAAGCTGTAAGAGAAGTTCTGCTTAAGCGTGTTGCCCGAGTCATGTCCTTGGGACCCTCTCCTGGACTTCTTACCACCTCTCTGCCATTATTGATCAGATTGGCCAAGCGATAGAGTCATTCTGCCACCTGCTGGCCACGCCAGGAACTGTGCCTTGGCGATAACAGCTGCCCAAAGACCTGAAAAGGGAAAATTTGGAATGAGGACATTACTGGCTCACCTATAATATAACATCAGGATGAAATAGGACAACTGGTCAGGTTCATTGAAAATTCTTGTTTAACTAAATCTGTTGAGTCATGCACGCAGCTACATTCAAGCCCCGAGATTGTCTTCTGTGAGTGTATTTTGAAAGGACAGGAATGATGCCTTTGACTCAGTGCTGGCTGAGACAGCGATATTCATTACCCTTTTTTCCCTTATATGCTGGTAGTGTCACGAATATATAAAGACCCTCTACAAGTTAACAAGAACAATACAAGCAATCCAGTGTAACAGTAGGTAAGAGACACGGACCAACGGTTTACCAAGGAAGAAACACATGTGGTCAATAAACATGTGAAAAAATTCAACATTGGTTGATGTTGAAATGAAAATTTAAAAATACAGCAACATAGGTTTTTTTTTTCACCCAGCTAATTGGCATCTGAAACATCTGAAAATGCCAAGCATTGGTGTAGGTGCCTAGGATCTCTTATCCTTTGCTAAGGGGAGTGTAAATTAGGGGGGTCTGATATTACCTTCCAGTGTTGAACATTCACGTACTCTGTGATCCATTCATTTCTGCCCAAGAGACATTATTGTACCTGTACCACAGGGGGGCACGTTCACAGCAGCATGGGTCACAATAGCAAAATCCCAAAATAGTCCAAAGTACCCATCAGTGGTAGTATGGACAACTAAATTGTAACAAACAATGAATTGTTATTCTGTAGTTCGAATGAACAACTACAGTGATGTTTAACAATATAGATAAGTCTTAGCAATAAGTGAAAAAATTACCTTCAAAATATACCTGTGGCATAATGCCTCCTGTGAAAGTTGAATTTAACTGAAATACACATACATATACTTTCAAGAAATAGATATTGTATATAGATGTATGCATGCATTTGTGTGCTGATTGTATGTGTTCAGTACAGTCTTAAAAGAAAAACAAGGGAATGATGACACAGGGTTCATGATGCTTACTTTCACTGGAGCAGTTATTAAAAAAATTAACTTAATAAAGTGACCCATGCAAGGACCAATGATGAGAGTGTGTCATGAAACAAGGATTAAGAGATTAATGATCATCCATTTTAATTATAAGAAGTTCAGCAAAAGAGAAATGTGGGGCGTCCTGAAAGTGTCTAATTGCTGCGTCTGAACTTCCCTGGGGGCTCCAGGAAGGTGTCGGTAAGGAGCTGACTTGCGTGCTTGGCTCTGAGGGATAAATAGTCACTAACCAGGCGAAGAGATCAGGGAAGAACATTCCAGAGAGAACAAAGTGAGTCAGGGCCTGGATGTGGGAGTAAGTTCAAAGCCCTGCGGCGCGATCGGTGTGGCTGAGCGCAGAGGGAGAAGGGGGCAGAATGTGGGAGATGGTGCACGGAGGTGGTGGGTCGGGACCAGCTCTTTCTGAGCATATTAAGGGATTTTGATTTTATCCTAAAACAGCAGGAAATTATTCAAGGGCTTTATACAGAATTGTATTTAGTTTGATTTTTTACTTGCTCACACTTGTTCCTTTGGGGCTGATACCTAGATTGAAAGGGACATAGAAATATATTCCTGTTTCAGGATTTGGGGTGTAAGCTGCCAAGATGCCCTCTAGAAAGCTTGTGAAATCCACTTTTCCACCTATAGTGTGTGATGTAGCCTGATTCCACACACTCCAGCATTGGGTATTAGCACTGAAAAAGATTTTCAATACAAAAGGACAATGTATAATTATTGCTTTAATTTGTATCAGTTTTATGGCAAATATTAAAAGTTTAAAAAATGCATGTATGCAGTTTGTCACATTGTGTTTTTAAATATATCTTAAATATTTAAAAATTTTTCCCTATTACATTTTTTTCTGGTACTACCAGAAAGGATTATAGCATTTTAACCAAATGACTAAGCTAAACAAGTTATTCAACTTGGAGAAAATGTGAGTCAGTACCACATGAGGACTCAAGAAGGTTGGAATAATTGAGCTGGTAGCTTACTTGC